GGCGGAAGTGGTGTAGTGGCAAGTGGCGCGCTTACCACGCGAGCGGTCCGGGGATCAAATCCTGGGTCGTGAGTCGCCCGGGCCAACCAAGCCTTCCATCCCTCCGGGGTCGGTTAATTGGTACCAGACTTGTCTGGGAGGATAAAAACACTGACTTGTACATCGGCTGGCCCCCGCAAGTCATTGTATAGGCCACATCGCATTCAAATGCCACAACGTACAAAACGGAAGTAGAATGCGTGCCGCATCGAGAGTTACCAATGCCGACTACATGATCCTTTCATCCTTATTATTTGCCGATTCAAGTCGGGCTTTCGCACCGACGCGCACGCGTGTATTTTTCGGGATTACAAGCTCGCTTTTCGATATCAATGCTTCTAATATATCAATCACTAGTGTTCACACCACGTGCATCGCAGCTTCCGTTTCTAATGCCGTACTTCAAGTCGACTGATTACAGCTGATGTTACCAGACAGCTGAACGCTTTTGGAATTGAAATGAAAATCTCTCTTACTCTACGGTTCAACACAAACCCATCCATCAGAACAAACTTACAATCGTCAACAATCCTGAGACGAGTGAAGATATCAGGTCCTTTTCCAGCTCTGGCACAGACGATCGTGTTGTGCGCACCAGATACCGCGGGTCCATGATCAGCTGTCAACATCAGGCACACTTCAATGAATTTGTTGGCGTATGCAGGGAAGTCGTTTCTAGAATGATGCAACTGTCAAAGCAGATCCTTTGAAAACCCATACTATTTCAAAAAGTTTAATTCCTCGATTCGTTCTTTATTTGAATCAAACCAACGAACCATAGAAATTATGAAGGTCGCTCACTAAAATTTCAAAATTGAAGACCCACTTGGAACCACAACAAGCCGAGCACACCGCCAACTCCTATATCCTGCTCTAGCACTTTGGTTATTGGAACTCCAGCATAGTTAAGCTCTTCGCCTCGTTCGTCGCAAATTGATGTCATGAACGACGCTGGTTTACGGATTAAACCAAGTTCCTATTAATAATATATCGTTAGAAAAATTAGGAAGAAATTAAAAGAAGACATTAGAAAAATCTAATATCTAATAAAATCCAGCAGCACCAAAGTTTTTTATGATTCAAGTATTCATCGGAAATGGAAAAAGCGACTCGGGTTCCCCTTGAGTCTCAATCAAAAGTATAAGAACCCTTGAAGCCATTTAAGTGGCAACCAAGTGGCAGGAGTTATGAAAAAAAACATACTTCAATTCATGTATGTGTAATGTTCTCTATTCTGCGGTAAGATTAATACTGATGAAGGAAAAAACTCACTCTAGCCCAAGCATAGTCCATTGGTACAGCTGGTGGAGGAACTTCCGGCCGAATTACCACGATGCCCTGGTCAACCAACTCAGAGAAAGTCTCCTTTACAAGTTTTCCTGAACAAAGCGACCTAAGGAATCATGTTCTGTTCAATAACAAGGCTAAGCACTAACCAAGATCATCGAATGAATGGGGCACACGTGCACCGGCCTCTTTCAGAGCTGCGTTTTTAGCTGCCGCCGTCTCCCCGAGAGCGTTTGCAGATGCACCTGCATGTCCGAATTGCACCTGAACATCTCGAATTGCAACCACAACTCTTCACACCAGAGCCTTCTCAACTGAAGTTTCAAGACAAACGAACCTCAGAGGTTATATGGTCCGCACAAGTTCCGATGCACCACGCCACTAGTGGCTTCGTGATTCTTCCGTCTTTCAGTGCTTCAACAATCTTGTACTCCTCAACACCACCGACTTCGCCAAGCAGTACCATCATTTTCACTCTGAAACCACCGCCTTAATAAGACAGAGCAACAGAGCACGGATAAATTCATTTGTTGTAGATTGCTAGTTTATTCCAGGAATCGGGAAGATCTTGAACAAATGAGTCAAGCTGTACCTGTCGTCCTTCTGATATCGCATAATATGGTCAGTGTAAGTGGACCCTGGGTATCTATCACCACCAATGGCAATACCCTCGAAAACACCATCCGTGTTCGCACCAATAATGTTGTTCAGCTCGTTCGACATTCCTCCACTACGAGAAACGTATGCCACACTGAAATTTGAGGAGTTCAAAAAATATGAAAGGCACTAGATTTGCTTTAGTTTTCATTCTTCCCAGTATTCTGGACTTTTTCTTCAATTTCAGAACTACTTTTTTAAATAACGATGAACATGCAAATGTGGGAATTAATTTGCAGATGACCGCTGAACTGATAACACCTTTGTATTGGCTCGGAAATGAAGGACTAAATCGGACACACCAACCTTCCTGGACGATAGAGCCTTGATGCAAGGATATTATCCATCATTCCTCCAGTGTTTCCAATCTTGAAGCATCCTGGCTTAATTCCACCGACAGTAGCAGGGCCAATCAGGGTGACACCTTTCTCTGACGCCATCTACAAAACGAATAAAATACTGTGATTGAGTGCACGTGGAAAGCTTCACAGCTTACCTTGATAAGCTTGCGCGTTTGATTTTCTGGCACACCTTCGGCAATAATGGCAATCACACGGATCTGCGTGAACTGCAGAGCCTCAAGCACCGTTTCGTAGACAGATCGTAGTGATGCAAAAGTGACAAGGATGCTTGCATCCGGATGCGTCGCGAACGCTTTAGCCATGGATTTGTAGGCCGGAATCAGGATCTCCTAAATATTTGCATGGTCAATAAATAGCGATGACGATCCAGTGACACTTTAAGCTGAACGACAAAACTTTTTCGCATAAAAAACAGAATCCTCACGCGGTGTCCGAAGTAGTACTTCTGTTTATTGTCACCCGTGAAGGGATAAGTCGACGCAACCACTGATGGTTCCAGACGACGGCAAACATAATCGAAGTCGAGCATTCCCTGGAATAGAGATATCTTTTTTTCTATTCGGTCGCTTTTTTTGCTACTTGCTCATGAAAGATGGACATCGATCTTTGCAGAAGGGAATGCGATTTCAGAAAAGCAGCAGGTTGCCGACTTAAGACCAAATTCAAAATTAGATAGAAAAGGTTACCTGGATAGCCTTTTGCTGTTGGCCCCAGATAATAGCCTTTGAATTGTTCTCGAACAGGCTCTCGTACAGCTTGTGTGCCTAAAAATGAAAATATGTGATAATCGAATTCTTGTGCGAGTACCCGGCATGTACATAATCAAAGAATCAAACACAATTAACAAAAATTAGCAAGAAACATAAGATGGCATACCTCGTCGGAATTACTCATAACTGCCGTAGTCGTAGAGTCACCAGCAGCCGGGTCAGAATTTAGATCATTAGACGGGTGCCGAGATGTGGCACGCACTCCTCCAGCCGTCTGGAACAAAAGGTTCTATTTTATATCCAGAGTAGTAACAAAGAGAAAGTCAGATTAGCTCCAGTACATTTCTTTCTGGGCTCAACAGGAACTGCCCAGTAGTTTGTGGAACGTGTGGCACTGCTGGGAGGTCGTGAATGCCGAGTGCCGCTCCAACAATAGCAGTCATATGTGTTTCCGGACCAAATACATGGATTGGTAACTCCAGTTTCTGCGCTAAATAAGCAAACAATTCTTCTCAAGTTTACGACACAATGTGCAAAATTTAGCACAGACCTGCATCTTTTATTCTTCTGAGGCCTTCTTGATAGTTGGGACCACCACGGCGCACGAAGACAGTCACTTTGTGTTCACGTAGGCGCTCAACATACACTTCAAAAGCTCGCACGATACCCTAAATGGAATCACACGTTGACAAATATGGCAGATTGGCAGTTCAAGGCATACAAGAAAGACGAAAAGTCATGCATCTAATTCAAGGAAGTCTTAATGGATGCGGTTCAAAAACATTTTCACTGAAAAGGCATGCCCAAATCTATTATAACACAAAGACGTGCGCTTTCCACGAAAGCAGAAGAACTAAAACAAATCGCTTCCGTTCGAGAAAAATATCTAGAAAATACTTCCACTTCGAGAAAAAATATCTAGAAACCACTTCCATGCGTTCAAAGATTATGGGTATTTGATGAGTTGCGGTACAGCAGTCCTGCCTGCATCGGCAGGGCGAAGGACAGCGCAAAATGAACAGCTACCATGCAGAAAGTTAGCAAATGATCAGTGTTCAAACAAGCCAGTGCCAAAGCAAGCATCGGCAATGTTTCTTTAAACTCGAATGTGCGCTCCCGTGGTAGTAAATACCACAATTTCGTGGACAACATCTAAGCAGCTAAGATGTTCCTCGAATTCTGTAGCCCACTTCATGGTTTTATGAGTTGCTTGTTTGGAAAAGAACACCCACACATCATTACAAATCAATGTGAATTATCTGGTACATCAAAGAGCACAGAGAGTAAAAGAGAGGATACTTAAAGCGATTAGAAACACTTACGCCGAAAGTCTTTGCGACGTTTGTGAAGTTGGCAATAGATCCTCCAATAATGAGTACTTTGCCCTTTGGATGTGGCGCACCTTCCGTCATCACAGACAACAAAGTTTTAGCGTATTCAAATGTTTGAGTTTCTGATGGATCGCCAGAGTACTCTCCGTAATTCGCCAACTCAGCGGCACCACCAAGATCGCAAACTGTATCGCTGAAGTGGAAGCGATGAGAAAGCAAAGTTTCAAAAACAAAATAACGCTAAATAAGTGCCTATTAAGAGGCACTGCACTTACGTGAACACAACTGATGCTCCTCCACCGGCGACCATTGTCCATATACGACCCTTTCTATTCAATATTGTTAGTTTCAAAGAGGCTCCAGTTTTTGCATCTAGGTCGGCAATGTACTGTTCCTGTAAGAAAAACCGTGAACGACAAACTCTCCCAACAATATGCATAAATGTTGATAAATCAATCAGGTTAGAGAAGTGGGTTCCATCAGTGAATCATTCAATTTGGCTATAATGACCTGAGAAGACTAATTTGGAAGCCAGCCACCTCGGCAACGAACGAGCTGTAAGCGGAAAATAGTCCCGCCCTCACTTCTGCATTTCCTTCAGAAGGTAGTTAATATTGGGATCTGTAGACCAAAGGGCTTCCCATTTACATACCCAACTCAAAGTCATCACTCCGACCGGGTCGTAAGAAGCAGGCCTTGCAGTTCTTGAGGAATCCACAAAGGACAATTTGGAGTTCAAACAACTGGATGAGCTAATCAGTCCAATCCAGCTCAACGGAAGCATAATGAAACTTGAACGCACTGTTATGTGCAGCTATGCAAATTAGGCCCAGGAGTAACAGCGAGAAAACAAACAAATTCTATGGGTGATTCCACAGCTGCCATTTATTCTTATCCAGCAGTAGCAATAACTTGGTAGCATTCGAATAGAGGATATAAAATGCAACTTAGTTGTCTATGCGCGTTCATTTCGGTGGAATGTTAATAATAAAGCCGAAAACCTACCTCTTTTGTAAGGTCACGTCCAAATGGAGCAGGGAATTCCACAGATGAACCCGATCGTGTCTTCCATTTGTCAGAACACAAGAAGTTAGCAGTTTCATCAAGCTTTGCAGCAAGGTCAAGAATGTACACCTTGCCATCTTTCACAACTGAAACAAACCGTGAATTAGAAAATAAAAGATAATGACAGAAAAAGCAAACTCACCAAGAGGGTTAATTCAAATAAGTGGAAGGGTAAATTGTTTGTAGGCAGAGTAAGAGTGAAAGTGATGAGAGAAAGTTTGAGAACCCTAGAAGAAGACGTGATTTTCGAAGGTATAACTGCTGAATCGGTAATCACTAACGTTGTTTTGTCATTAAGATTTCCAATGAGTTGTTTGAGTTGAGCTTCTGTTGGCACCATCTCATTGTCATCTAACGATACTTCAATTTTCACTGATCGCGCCTGAACTTGCGACCCTAGGAGGTCAAGCGGAATTTCGAAAGTTGTGATAATACTTCAGCAATTCATGTACAATATATAAATACACTTAGATCGACGCTCCAATATCCAACCACAATGTACGAATGAGACATATGACATCATTTATGCGATCGACTGAATATGGCAATGTACAGCTCGTCTGCATCTGTGTGCGCAACAAACGGCTCCACAATGAATGTGTGAAGACGGCCAGTTGTTTTTCCAATCTGGAAAATGATTGGGCTGATCAAAAGTAGAAATATGAAGCTCACCCACGCTCAAAATTTTTGAATTCCACAAAAAGTAGAACGCTCTCGGAAATCCTCACATTCCTGGGACTCATCCAAAAAGGGACTGATGTAGTCACAATTGCTGGCCAAACTTTTTGCGGATGATGAGGAACTCCGGGGTGCGCAAACACCCCGCTTACACTTTGACACCCATCCCGGAACTTCCTCCCTTTCGAAAAATTGGATTAGATCAGTCGATATAAACTGTCACATAATATGCGCCCTTATTGGATGACACTCGTTTCCACCCACCTGACCTGAAGCCTAAGCCTATGCAATCAAGCATCGGAAAATCACAGATGACAACACTACCAGCTAGAGCTACGAAGTTCCCACTGGCCGTCTCCTTGAGAAATGTTTAATGAGTTTCGGATCTTTCCTCTACTCAGAGTAGAAAAGGATAAAGTTTATTCGGGGAAACAAGAGGGTTGCACTGAAACTAGAAAGCAAGCGAAGAGTTCTATCTTTGCTTTCCGAGGCAATCGCTTACCTGAACGGATTTGTTCACATTTTCTTGGAACCACTTCTTTATCTCGTCCACCGTTCCACACTTGACCAGACCATGTTTTCCACGCCGTTTTATCAGCTGATCTGGTTTTATTACTGCTTTCTGAAAAAAATGAATTGAGGAGATTATAAATTTGGCAACAACTGCAGTGCCACGATACGTTAAGTGCCTATTCCAATGGCAAAAAGGACGAGTTCTAAATTTTCCCGATATTCTTCCGCGAAGTGATTATACTTGCAGAAAAGCGCATCGCAGGTGTACAACCGAGCAGGAAACCAGAACACGCATAGGGTCCCAAAGGTTCTCAATGGTTCTGCCTTTTCTACCGTTCAACTACATGTCACATCACTGAGCTCGCGCATGGCTCGCATTCATTCGTTACAAGGGAGGTCTTTCAGGACATGGAGCGCTTTTTCGAAATGGTTTTCTGCATGTTGTAGGGGCTCATGCGAGGAACAGAACCATGATCCATTTTTCCTGAACGCCTCCAGGAATGTCAAAACAGTGGTGAAGAAATGGTCCAGAGTTCGATCCCCGGTGATGACTAATTTTTGCAATATAGTTTGGCGCCCCCAGATTGCCGCCAAATGGCGCCATCGTCGAGAATAGATGTCATTGTCGTGTTTTGCGGCAATTTGGAGGCGCCAACATAAATTGCAAAAATTTGTCATCACGGAGGATCGAACTTTGGACCATTTCTTCCCGCTGTTTTGACATTCCTGGGGTGTTCAGTTCAGGAAAAATGGACCACGTTCCTCTACAACATTCAGACAACCATTTCGGAAAAGCGATTCATGTCCTGAAAACCCCCTTGTTAGGTCACCTTTCTAGAGCCACTTTGGCACAAATTTCGTGCGCCACTTATAATTTTTGGTATGCGCGTATGACCTGTCTGAAGTAAGAAAAAAGACATGGCTTACAGTTATTC